TCATTTTCCGTCAGTGTCACAGCCCTGATCCTCCTCGTCGCCAATCCTCATAACCAAGTCTACAGCTATGGCGGTTATGGCCTGGCCAACATAATCTCCTTCTAGGCTGGGCGCCCTCCAGCAGTATCAGGTGCCCTCAAGCAGTATCTAGCACCAGTGTCAATACTCCAGCAGGCTCGCGTAGCAGCACTAGCATCAAGCCAGCGCAAGGCAGAATGCCTTCCACAGTGGTCTGGCTAGTCTTATGTGGCGTTGACCAGTATTGACTGGTGTGGACCAGTCTCCCCTTGGACTGTGTCGATGCTTCAGATTTGCCAGATCTTGACAGATTGGATGCAGCCTTGAAGCAGCAGTATCGTTTCCCATACGGGGCTGGAATCTTCAGGATACCTGCAGACAACCATTGATGTGCATCTGATCTATGGGCGAGGCTGACTATGGGGTTGACTTTGACTTTGGGCCTGCCTTTCCCGTGCTGGGTCTGACTCTTGATTTTCCAAGAGTCCACCAACTCACGTGAGGCCTCTGGCCGCTGTTTTTGACTCAGGCCTTGATACCCCTTGACCCTAGGCCCTCTCTCAGACATTTCTCAGACTTGGGACGTGACTTTTGGCCCTTATTTCTGGCCTTTGACAGGAAGTGACGACCCTAGCCCGTGGCTGTATGTCTATGAACCAGTCTCGCAGTTGACTTGGGTTTCACAGGTGCATCTGGCCCTCCGAGTCTACAAGGCATCTGTGGTGGGAATGCCTTTCTTCACAAACATGTTTGGAAATGGTGGGAGCACCATTGGAAGGAGATGGAAGGAGGGAGACTAGTCTGGGATGAGAGGTGTGTGCTGCTAGGCTTCCTACTGATAGAACTCTAGGGAAAGAAAAGATGGGGCTGTGTCTCACATGCAGTAAGAGGCATTGTCTGTGAAGTGATATGGGCAGACAGGAACAGGGAAAGGTTCCAGAAACGCCTGATGTTGGACGTGGAGATCAAAGGAAAGATCAAGTCGGCCGTGAAGGACACAAGCAGAGTGTACTGGCAGAGGAAGGTGAACTCAGCAGATCATGGTTTGTTTGACACGTCCTTTTTGCTGTTTTCTCTCTCTTTGTTTTGGCTGTGGAGCCCCGCCGTCCTTCAAAAAAAGTCCTTGAAGCAATTGTGTGGAGCACAACCCCTCACATCTGGGCCGTCGCATCCTACTGAATCGACAGCCTGGTGTGAAAAATCTGAAATCCGGGCCGTCATATCCTCTGTGTTGACGACCCAGATTGTTGCACAATCTTGAATTCTAAGATCACGCGGCTATCCTGGCGGCTGGCCGGTAGGCTGTTTTGACAGCGGGCATGGCAGTAGAATCTGCATACCAGTAAGTCCCACGGCTACGGGTTGAGAAGTTCTGCTGTACTCTCCCACCTGTTGTTTCTGTGCGTGCTTCTGTCATAGATCTACAAGGGAAGCCTTTTCTGCGCATACACACAGACAATGCGGCTAGGGTTGGGACCGTGTGAGTGGTCATCCCATTGGGTATCCCCGGCTGAGTGGGTGTATGGAGTGGGTTTTATGGCTGTGACAAATTAGTTTCTCAGACTACTGCCGTTCTTGCCAAGTGTTTGGACTGACAGTCTACTAGGGCTGGTGTGAGTGAAGTCGACCGCTTTCTCAGGGGTATCGCTAACTCTGGGCGACATGGTGAGTCCTTATACATCACTCTAATGCATCCTGGGCGGACTGTCGGGGTTCAACCTCCTGATGAGTTCCGCGGAAGTCCGATGAAATAGTCTGGCACAGACATGCTTTGTTTTGTGGAGTTGTGTATAGCAAACATGACAACACACACACTCAGACACACACACACACACACACACACACACACACACACACAGAGAGAGAGAGAGAGAGAAAGAGAGAGAGAGAGAGAGAGAGAGAGAGAGAGAGAGAGAGAGAGAGAGAGAGAGAGAGAGAGAGAGAGAGCTGAGGCCGTCCTCCGGTGCTCTTGGCCATGTTCTGCCATCCCTGCTATCCTTCTGCCGCCACCCACCAGTCCCTGCCCTGTGCAGAATGCCTTCCCTCACCTTCTGGCTCTCCCTCCACCCACATCCACTTTCCCCTGGACTCCCAAGTCTCCACGTCCGTGCGGGCGCGCACGCAAGAGAGAGAGAGAGAGAGAGAGAGAGAGAGAGAGAGAGAGAGAGAGAGAGAGAGAGCACCACCACAGATGCATCACCTATCATATTTTTGTTTGTGACCAAAGACGCAGCAGGTCATCTAGTGTGGTATTTACGTCACTGGGGTTGGTGTGTGCCTCACCGTAGCATTCATTATGATGTGCTTGGGAAATCTGACCTTCCATTTTCTCCGGTAGGGTACCGTCTTCTCGGCATTTCCTTCTCAAAGTGTCGTATGATTGGCTGTTGCGATCTTCTCTCTACTTTTTCTGAGTTGCACTCTTTTGCCCTTTGAAACAATGTTGTTCTTCGCCTTAAGCCATTTGAACCAGCCTAGGACTTTGTGGATTGGATATGGCTGTAATGGGGAGTGAATATATCCGGTAAAGCCCCAGGCTGTGTTTTTCTTTTCTAGTTGTTTTTTCCGTTAAGGAAACAGAAAGCGGAAACCTGTTTTGGCTCTTTGGTTGGCAAAGGTGCAGGCAAAATAAAGCTCGACATTGCCAACCCCACCATGGGGTGCCAGAAGAAGGTGGAAATTAATGATAACTAGAAACTGCGAGGTTTGACAAGCTTCTTGCTCAGGGAGCGAATGGTGGCGCCCTTGGAGAGGAGTTTAAAGGATATGGATTATGGGAGGATGTGATGAGTGTGGCTTTCCCATGAAGCAGGGAGTACTTTTTCCTGGCGGCGTCATTTTGATGCACATACGGGACTCTGTGTTCCCGTGGATACGGCTGTCGTGATGGAGAGAGGAGGCTCAAGTCTGCTCGCGGCTGTATTGTGAGACCGGACTTGGCTGTGCTAAACCTTGTGATTGTGAAGCAAGGGAACACGGCTCTTCCCGTTCTCACAGACATGGAGAAGCCTGGCATTCAAGGATCCAGGAGGCATCCAAGCTCCATAAGCTGTCCAGCTGGACCAAGGGAATTGATGTCCGCAAGTACGTGAACACCTGACTTTTGTTTCGGAAACTGGGAAGAAGCAAAGCAAGCCCCCAAAGATCCAGAGGCTTCTGACACTGCAATGAATTGCAGTTTTGTTTTCGTGCGGGCTGTACCATGGTAGGGCCGTTGGATTCTTGAGCCCTCTGGGTCTAGATCCTGTTACCTGTCCCTTACTGGGACTTCTCCTTGGTAGGACGTTTAGTCGGCCTGTTTGCTGTTTCTGCAGATGGTACCGGTAGGCCTGTAGGTCTTCTTTTACTAGATCCTAGTCTTGGGTCCTGCCTAGTTGCATAGAGGCTGAAGGCAGTAGCTGTTTGGCCCATCGTTGGTCTAGGTCGAAGTCGGGTAGAAGTAGTTGGAGGTCGATGGGGTGTGGGTTCTTTCTCGGCTTTTCTTTTCGAAGTGGGGCGTGAGCGGTCTGGTGAGAGAGTTGTGCTAAAATTAGCGCTGAAACTCCTCCTTCCTCATGCTGTTGTTGGCAGCCATAGCTGGGGATCCCTGGCACCTTGAGGGACAGCGCCTGGTTTATTCAGCACGTTGCGATCCATCCCCTCTACTGTTGCTGTCTGGGAGTTTGAAGAAGCCGCTGGTTCATCAAGCGGCTATTTGCTGGTTGCTACCATATCGTGGCAGCCATCTTCTTCTTCGCCGAAGTTCATCTTCTTCTTCATGGTGCCTATTGGCGCTGCTGACTGGGCATCTGACCTATGTCAGGTCAGTGCCTACAGCTTCAGACACTTGGGGATTAGGCGCTGGTAGAGTTGTGCGCCATACCTGAGTTTATGAGTTGTTGGAGGGAGGGGAAGTCTCAGTTAAGCTTCGCTGAAGTTTATTGTTGGTGGTTGATCGAGGATGGAAGACAATTCGTGGTTGAGATTCTCAGGGTATTCTCGATTTTATTGGAGGAGAGCAGGGGGATTAATAATAATTGATTGATAAACATTTTCTATCAATTCCATACTTGGCTTCGGCTTGCGCTGTGCAGTCTCTCTCCCTGGTTTTGGTGTGAATCTGCTCTCTCCGTCTGCCTGTCATTGCAGATGTGTATGGGAACATTTGAATGCGGGCTTTGATCGTGAATCAATCGAGCACATAACAACACCCATCGTGCTCCAGAGGAAGCATGCTCGCTTGGCCGAGAAGAAGAAGTTGGTGGCAAGGCCAAGACGGAAGCCACTGAGTACCAGAAGCTTCTTGCATCTAGAATGACGGAACAGAGGGAGAGGTGCGGTAAGAGTCTTGCCAAGAGGTGTGCCTCTTGTGCCTCTAGGGTCTACTTAGATGATATAAGTACCTCTATTCGATTAGGGTTTCGTTTATCCGGCATGCCGATGTCATTGATATTGAGAGTTGATGGAATTTGAGTTGATGTCATTACGTTTGAGGAGAGATTGATCTTATCGGAGGAGGAGGGTAGGGGAAGAGGAGAGTAGATCAAGATTGTTAGCGGATAGCGGAGTGATGGATCTTTGGTCGGCTCGTTGCTGATCACGTCTTTTTGGGTTTCCTTTGTTGGTTTGCCATGCTGCGGAAGTCAGTTGAACGAGATCTGTGTTGAGATATACTCTAAGTGCCAGGCGAGGTTGCCTTGGGTTGTAAAAAAAAGAAAAAAAAGAAACCTGTTTTGTACCTTGATCTCAGGTCCCTGCATGTTGCACGAGCACTTTGCCTCACATATTTCTCTGTGGATGATTCGTTGCTTATGTTTCCTCTTGTTTCTTTTGGTTTCGGTGCACCTATCTTTCTTTTTGGGCTCGTATGGGCAATGTCCAGAATTTTGAGCATTCCATCGTCATTCTTTCTTCTGCCTACTTATTTCTATATTTAGAATAACAACTTCGTGCACTCACTCACACTCTGCTTATCTGCTCTGTTCTGGCTCTCATTTGCCCAGATGATTGATTGGCTAACGCCACCTGGACAACTTTTTATCGTCTGCCTACATTTTGCAAGGCCTCCTAGTCGTTGAAGGTCGAGGCACACGTTGTGCGGACCTATTCTTTCGACTATGCATGAGTGTATCCCTTCCTGAGAATCTCGAAAACTGCGAAAGGGTGGTAGGTGACGGTGATGGCTCCTCCTGCTGACCGGAGTGCGCCTCCTATGGGGAAATTGGAAATGGTGCGAGGTTCGGAGAAGTCTGTTGGTGGTGATGCTGGAGCTGATGGAAATGGGATGACCAGCGACGATGGGATGGGTGCGGGCGAGGGAGACATTGTACCTCGCAAGCAAGTCGCCAGGAAATGGTTTAGGAAGTGGTAAGACTGCAAACCACCGCCTGGCTCATTGTTATTTTCCTCATTCTGTTGCTCATCCTTCTTCCAACACTGCTGCTCTTTTTGTCTTGCTACTTTTTCTCCGTCTTTCCCCTCCTTTCTCCATCTTTCCGCACTTCTCTCTTCTTCTGTTGTTTTTGTTTTTTTTCTTACTGTGGGGTGATTCCGTCAAGATTTGAACTCATTATCTGTTTACTAACAGTTAAATGTGTTCCACCACGTTTCTCTCCTCAACATTCACTGCACCTTGCTGATTATCGGCGTGTGTTGCATTTTTTGGGGCATTTGTCATCGGAGTTTGTTGGGCTGTACCTCTGTTTGTGCGTTTTTGTGGGGCATTTCTTGTCCTCACAAAATCAAGGGAAAGTAAGCCGTTCGGTACATCTGTTGAAATTGGCACTATCCGAAGAATGGCATACCTTCTGCACAAGGGTTGACAAGCACAAATTGAGGAATGATCAACATCAAGGGTTGGAAAAGAAACGGGGAAACAAAGTTCAAACCACAAATTTCCCATGTTTTGAGTTTCGCATTACAGAAACAGGCACCACCATTCATTTTACGTTTTGTTGATTTCCCCTTTGCAATGACCTGCACAACTGCAGGCCGTGAATTTTGCACTTGTCTGGGGAACATGCTGTCGATGTGATCTGATTATGCAGAATTCCGAGCCCGAAGCTGTTCGTTATGATCTGATTACTCAGCATTCCCCTTTTCTTAGATGTATAATATTGTATATACTATATATGCATTGTGCTTGCCTGCTGAGGGTCCCACCAGCCTGACTCCTAGTGTTACGGACTCCGCCAGGGCTCGATCCCTGGTCTATCTTTTGCTGTTTCAGCTGCATCCCGTTTTCGGCCTGGCACCCTTCTTCCAAACCCCTCCTTTGGTACCGTAGGATTTTGGACAACTGGCGCCATGCTGCAATTCGGGCGCCACTTTCAAATACTGCATTTTTCAGTTCTGCCCTCGGGGCCTTTGCAGAAATGCCCCTGGTACCGTACGTGTCACCGGTACTTATACCGGCTCCCCGTACGGTACGGGGACCAGTCTCGTACCAGTTCTCTGCTGCTGTACTCGTACTCAGTGTGACTTGCTGTTTCGACATTCGGAATCCAAGACTTCGACTTTGTGCCTTGCCACTGTGTCTGCGTCCGATCCTCAGTCCGAGTCCGTTGTGTCGAGTGAGAGAGTGTGTGTGTGCTCTCACTCTCTCCCTCTCTCTCCTCTCCCTCGGCTCACCCTCAGCCTCACGCTCGTTACACCTAGTGCAACTCTTTTGGCTCTTAGGCATGAAGGTGCGGAATTTAGACGCGCCAATAATCTCAGAGTTAGTAAATGGTACCCAGATCAGCATGGGACAATATGTAGAAGGGGTCAAGGGATATTTCCAGTTGGAGGGAGGAGAGAAGGTATTGATTGTGTGCTCTCTCACTCTCCTAGTGGAAGAGAACTTCGGAACTTACCCTGCAATGTATTGCCGGGAAACTTTTAGCGGCAGGAAAAACGAAAACAAAGAGACCTTATCTTGGATGAAGTTATCGGCACGGAGCTCAGTCGTCAGGATTTTCCATTTTATCTGCACAGGGAAGGTCTTTTTGTTTTGTCTAATTACTTAGGGAAATTCCTCCTCCTCAAATAGACAGTCATAATCAATATGATGGTCCTGATGGATCAGGACCATGTGTATGGTCTGTTTTTGCTAAGACGTCAACGTACAGTTTTTGACAGGACAGGCGCATCACTCTCTTTCCCAAAGATCAGAGGAGGGGTAATGGCAGTCACTCTGTTTGTTTATTCTTTTCTTTTATTATTGATTAAAGTAATTTAAAGCACTTTTCATTTTTACTGATTGAAGCAATTCTCCTTTTTATTTTGAAAGTATTAATTAAAGAACCCACCCATAGGATATCTATCTGGCACCACTTGAAAACCCTTTCCAGTGTGCCCTAGAATGAACAAGTTCGACGTTAACTCTTCCTTGTCACTTTTCTCATTCCGCACAACCCTTGACATGGCAATTGTGTTTGTTGCCCTTGAAGGCAGCACTGAACGGCCATGATAAAAAATGGATCTCATTGGTTCTGTCATGCGTGTGGGAAGGCCTTTCCGTCCTTGAGTTTGACTTGAACTGAAGGGTGCTCCACGCTGGCGTTTTGACTGGCTGCCTGCGAACCGCCGTAACTACCTGAGATGAAGAAAAGGTGATTAAGGTGAGTCCCGGGTGACTACCTAATGCGAGGCCATTGCCTCTATGAGCCCCATAAGGCCCCTTTTTGCAGGTCGTCGGCCGCCCTAAGTGAAGGCAGGCTCGACGAGGCCCTCAGGGCCCTTTTCTGGCCACTACGCAACTCAGGGAAATTCAGGCAGTTGCGCAGCGCCAGTTGGTTGAGTGAACCCAGGCCCTGGGCCGCCTGTGCAAATGAATGTGAAGCAGGCCCTGGGCTGGATACGGGTACCGGGCCAAACAAAGGCCGAAGGCAGTTGGGCACATGCAGGGCCTGCTCTCGTCGTGC